ACAAGATGAGAGATTGACTTGACTCTTGAGAATTGTATCCTCTTATATAAAATAATAGAGTTCCAATGTCCCTGTTTTGATCATATTTTATCTGTCCAAAGGCAATAACTAAAACAAAATCATGTCTTTAAAATGTTTTATAAATATATTTAAGAAATTAAAGTGAAAGCCCTAATAATGCAATAACTAATATTTCAAAGGGACATAACTCTTTTAAAATAGTTGATCAGCACTGATTATTGAACTTGTATGAGATATTGCTAATATAAACCATTGATAAAGGTTTGATAAAATCTGACAAGAATTGTACACTTGAAGCGCTTACAAAACCAGAATGACGACCAGTATTTCCATTCCCTCAATGCGTTGTGCTGGGGACTATTAATGGAGGATTAACTATTTAGTTTTGTGTATAGTGTTAACATGCCATGGTGGTTATTACCCAAAGATACATATCGTTACACTGAACATGTGTATTACCATTATCTTCTTCAACTTTTTCGAGAGGAAAAAAAAAGACCACAGTTACAGAATATTTAAAGCCATCCTTACAAATCAAACTCAATGGATTTTCGAAAAGACCAAGATTAACACCATAAATCCAAGAGATTGTTAAATAAATGTGGATAGTGTCCACATGTGGACACAGATGATGCCCCCGCTTGCATATCATATAGTTATAAAGGGACATAAATGAAGAACGGCAAAAGTGACGCTACCCAAATTTGAACTTGATCTGAGTTTTGTGGTAATAAGCACTGTGTGCAAGTCTCATAACATTTGGTTGAGGTTAACTTTAGAGAACAGAAACTAAAAATTCAGCAATTTTTCTATTTGTAAACACGCATAACTCTAGAACGGTTGTGTATAAGTTTTATAACATTTGGTTGAGACAAACTAAAGTTAGAGAACGGAAACGAAAAATTCAGCAAGTTTTATGTTTATAAAGGGACAGTTGGGGCAAGTATGGATACAACATTCAAGCTTGATACAGCACTGAATTTGGATTGTGATTAAATATTTGACACAGCATAGGTTTCTGACACAGAATGAATGTGGTCTAAGAACTTAAAAATTTTTAATTTACCTATTCAAACCATATCATTATTATTTGCTTTTATATATAAATCAGAAATAACCAATTTAAAATGGAAAATTTTAAAGAAAAAAAAGGAAAAAAAATCCCCCCCCCCAAACTCAATCCCAGCCTTCCCTTTGTGGTATGGTACCTTGCAGTACAATTTCATAGAGATCCATACACTTGAACACAAGTTATTGTCTGGAAACTAGAAAAATGCTTGTTTTTTGGCCCCATATTCCTAAACATTTAGGGCAATTACCCCCAAACTCAAACCCAGCTTTCCCTTTGTGATATGGAACCTTGTAGTTCAATTTCATAAAGATCCATTCACTTACACACAAGTTATTGTCCTGAAACTAAAAAAATGCTTGTTTTTTGCCCCTTCTTGGCCCCTAATTCCTAAAATTTTGAGGCAATTACCCCCAAAATCAATCCCAGCCTTCCCTTTGTAGTATGGTACCTTGCAGTTTATTTCAGAGAGATCCATACACTTGAACACAAGTTATTGTCTGGAAACTAGAAAAATTCTTATTTTTGGCCCCTTATTCTTAAACGTTTTGGGCAATTACCCCCAAACTCAATTCCAGCTTTCCCTTTGTGAAATGGATCTTTGTAGTACAATTTTGGAAAGATCCATAGACTTATACACAAGTTATTGTCATGAAACTAGAAAAATGCTTGTTTTTTGCCCCTAATTCCTAAAATTTTGAGGCAATTACCCCCAAAATCAATCCAAGCATTCCCTTTGTGATATGGAACCTTGTGGTACAATGTCAGAGAGATCCATACACTAACACACAAGTTATGTCTGGAAGTTACAAAAATGCTTATTTTTGGCCCCTAATTCCTTAACTGTTGGTACCATAACCCACAAAATCAATCCCAACCTTCCTTTTGTGGTATTGAACCTTATGGTAAAATTTCAAAGAGATCCATTCACTTAAACTAAAGTTAGAGTGCGAAAACCAATGTGTCTTAGGATGACGACGACGACATACCAATATACAACCACAAAATTTTTTTGCGGTCGTATAAAAATAACTTGATATTTAGAAGAAAATAAAATTTTTGCAATTTTTCCATTTATAAAGGGGCATAACTCTAGAACGGTTAAAGTGACGCCACCAAAATTCAAACTTGATCTGTATTTTGTGGTAATAAGCATTGTATATAAGTTTCATAACATTTGGTTGAGGCAAACTTAAGTTAGAGAACGGAAACTAAAAATTTTGCAATTTTTCCATTTATAAAGGGGCATAACTCTAGAATGGTTAAAGTGACGCCACCAAAATTCAAAGTTGATCTGTGTTTTGTGGTAATAAGCACTGTGTATAAGTTTCATAACATTTGGTTGAGGCAAACTTAAGTTAGAGAACGGAAACTAAAAATTTTGCAATTTTTCCATTTATAAAGGGGCATATCTCTAGAATGGTTAAAGTGACGCCACAAAAATTCAAAGTAGTAGAATCATTATTATTCGTTGGATACAAATTTTGGTATATTTCCTTTTATAGGTAAACCACAAATTTAAATGTTCAACAAAGTACAATTTTTTGTGTGGCTTGAATGCAGACTTTGGCAAAACCACAAAATCAAATGTCCACAAATATCTTATTTTTCCTCAATCCACAAAAAAAAATTGTAAGGGTTCCGTGGAACCCAGTGTCTCGCCTACTTTTGCTGTTAATCGCAGGCTCAACAAAAATGAGGGAAAAAAATTAATAAAAATATTCCTCTCTATACTATCTTTTGATTGTAAGTAGCTTCTGTCCAAGTTTGGTAAAAATCCAGGATAATTTATGAATCTAATAAATGTTTTAAAAACTTAAACTGCAGACTGTATGTAATGTTGACTGGAAGAAAAACTAAGTCCATTTATAAGTAAAATACGGAAAAAATGGATTTTTTTTTTACAAAATTTACTTCTGGATAATATCTTATGATCATAAACAAGCTTCTGTCAAAGTTTGGTAGAAATCCAGGATAGTTTAAGAAAGTTGTTAAAATTTCAAAAACTTTAACCACAGAGTGAATGTAATGTTAACTGGCAGAAAAACTAAGTCCATTTATAAGTAAAATATGGAAAAAATGGATTTTTTTTTTACAAAATTTACTTTTGAATATAATCTTATGATCATAAACAAGCTTCTGTCCAAGTTTGGTAGAAATCCAGGATAGTTTAAGAAAGTTATTAAAATTTGAAAAACTTTAACCACAGAGTGAATATTTGTGGACGCCGCCGATGCCGACGGAATGTAGGATCGCTATGTCTCGCTTTTTCGACAAAAGTCGAAGGCTCGACAAAAATGAATCCACAGTCAGTATAAGACATTTGTCCAATACTTTGGATACTCTTTGAAATTAATTTATCTTCAGGTCAATACAATACATGTTCATGTCTGTGCCTTTTACAGCAGACTTTTGCCTATAATTGCTTAAATCCACTTCATTTTAACTCTGGTGAATAGTTGTCTCATTGGCAATCATACCACATTCCTTATTTAGATAAAGATAATAGGAATCACCTAAACAATATTGGACAGTACACAGGGCCTAATCTAGGATTTTGAAGAGGGAGAAGTGACTTCTCCTTCCAAGAGAGAGAAGGGAGAAGTGGTCAATTTCTTGGAGAAGTGAGATTCCATTACCGTTTCTGTTGCATCGTGTTTTCATGCTTATCACTAAGGAAATTGTTTTATATTCAATAAAAGATATACTTGCAGTTTTTTCATATGTTATTGTACACAATGTATATATAGAAAGTTCTTAATAAAAAGGTTTAGACAATATATCGTTGTTATTTATTTATTGAAACCATTGTGTTCTAAATAAAATTTGTTGATTGGGACATGAGGGAGTAGCCTAGTAATATTATCATGATTATGATGCATTAAATTCATGTGCATCTGCCTCAATTTATTTTTTAAAAGTCCAGAAAAAATATAACTCCCAGTTTTCCTGATGAATTTCACATGACTGGGAATTTAATTTATATCACCACTTGTCATTATTTGTAAAACATTATTGAATGTCAAGGACATTATGTTAGTTGTAAATTGAGATTATCGTTTAAAATTTTAAGTCTATAAATGAAAATATTTTTCAATCGCATATTAATTATCCGACAAAGAGCTAATTTCTATCATTTTTTAAAAATATCATCCCTATCAACTGGGACTATTATACTGTAGTCCCGTTAGTATAATAGTCCCAGATATCAACGAAATGGTCATGAGAAACAATCCACTGCTGATCACAACCTGGTCGAGTGTCGTTCGTTTGCAATCACATTATCCTTCAGCAGTCTTTCTACCTTTTATATTTCAATTTTTATTCAATCAATATAATAAATCTACCGCTAATTCCCACCTTTCACCTACCGAATAGTAAAATTGATCGACTCGTGTAAGTTGTAAAAATAAAACAAATCAGCTGAGTGATTACGCAATATCCTCAGATGAAAATCATCGTAAAATGATAACTTAAATAGACGGTCAATTTTCCGTTTGGACAGTTTTGAAAGTTATATCCGAGGATGTTCAAAGTCGCCGTTGTATTTATTTAATTTGATCGTTGACAGTTTTAGTCCTGGGTCGTTTCGAAAATCTCGATTTTCCTTGTCAGCCGCCATTTTTTTTTTACCTGTGAGACTTGTCAATCACAAGTTGTCTCCCTTTTACCGATTTTGATAGCGATTTGATTTCGCTATGAAGTCAGTCGGCCGGCGAGATTTAGCGATTTTCATAATTCTTTGGCGACTTAAATCGTCATTTCGCCGGCAAGATTATGGCCTGACAGTACAACAGACCAACCCAACCACCAAAACCTGACCTGGCAAAAAACACATGGCTTGCATGTTATATAAAACTTGTGTCCTTACTTAAAATGGGAATGGTTAAGTATTCTTCAAAACATCAAAGAACTATAAAAATGTTTATTAACAATATTTTTCCTGACAACTCTGAAACATCTCAAAGTATTGAAAAATATATAGACATTTCAGATTAAAATATCATTTTGGCAAAGCACCACTGATATGAACCGTATTTCAAATGCAATGACAATAAATAGCAATTCAGGTGATCAACTTCAGGAAATGATACATCACTCTCAGGGGAACTTGATGTTAAAACTTCACGTATAAACAGTTTTAATATTTCATATGCTTTTAAAATGACATTGTTTTTAAACCTTCTTTTCAAAATACAAGATATTATAGAACATGATAAAAAAAAAGTCAGAAAGCAGGAACCACATTTGAAGTTATGGTAATGAAATTATTACAACCAAAATGTCAATAAGATTGCACATAATACGGAAAATATAAATCATGTAACAATAATCAAATAGTCAGTTAAAATCGGTTGGTGTTGTAGCAGCTGTCATTTCTTCCCAGATTTCTTTATTCCACTGCTCCCTGAAAATACATTTTTGTAAAAATAAAGTTACAGAAATGGCAGTCATTACTCTCCTTTGGAGAGAAGAAAAAGTCTTAATATTCATAATCTGAATAAATAAACAGTTTAGTTGATGTTTAGCCTGTAGTGTTTCTTGTTGAATTGCAGACAAAAAAGTAATATTGTCAAAGTTAAAAACGCAGACATCAGACAAGTAATCTTCTTATACATGTATTTTTTTATTTATAAACAACTGGATTATATTCTTTAAACTGCCATGGAAATATCCATTTATATTTTATGAACCTTTGTCATGGAACCACAAACAACCAAAAATAATAAAATTATCTTTTTACTAGCATTAATTTCAATATTTAAACATGTTAAAAATTTGTTTAATTCACAAATTTAGTTTACAACAAATCAGTGAAAAATGTTAATAAATAAGAAATTCCATTAGTTTCCAATACCAATAAACTGCTTCGCTGAGCGCAGCTGGATACGCCTGCAGAGGTCCAACCCTGAACAGTTGGGGCAAAAATGGAAACAATATTCAAGCTTGATACAGGTCTGAATTTGGATTGTAATTAAATATTTGACATATATAGGTTTCTGAATAATTGTAGTCAAAGAACTTGAAATTGGTTATATGAATTGAATTTATATTCAATTAAAGATTTCTTGCTGTTGTGCAATACACTGTGCTGTTGCGCAATACTTAGTAAATCTGTTCTCAAGACTATAAACAAATAAAGTTCAATTTATTCTCAATGACATATTAGAAATTTATGAAAATCAAAAGGGAGCTTACATCAATAGATATAAACAATTCACCAAAGTTTCATGAGAATTGCTGACAGCATTTTTGAGTTATTGTCCGAAAAACTGGAAAATCCTCCCTTTTTTAATGAATAAAACCCCATTACTCAGAAATGTTAAATGGAAAATTTATAAAATTCTAAAGGGAGCTTACATCAATAGATATAAACAATTCACCAAAGTTTCATAAGAACTGATGAAAGCATTTTTGAGTTTTTGTCTGAAAACTGGAAAATCCCCCTTTTTTTATGAATAAAACCCTGTAACTTGGAAACGTAAAATCTAAAATTTATAAAAATCGAAAGGGAGCTCATGTCAATAGGTATAAACAATTCACCACAATTTCTTGCAAGTTGGTGAAAGCATTCTTGAGTTATTGTCCGATCACTGGAAAATCCCCCTTTTTTTAATGAATAAAACCCCATAACTTGGAAACGTAAAATCTAAAATTTATAAAAAACAAAAGGGAGCTCACGTCAATAGATATAAACAATTCACCAAAGTTTTATGCAAATTGGTTAAAGCGTTTTTGAGTTAATGTCTGACATGTTGACGACAGACGAACAGACAGACGGACAACGGTATACCATAATACGTCCTGTAAACAGGCGTATAAAAACTAACACTGACTAACAGAATGAGCATATTGTTTACGTAAATTTTTATGCATTCTTCAAATTTTTATTTAATTGGCAAACCTTGAAATAGCCTTATCTGTTCTCAGTATTCTAGAATCAATTTGTTGATGATTTCTGGCATTAAGATAGCGGTTGAACAAAAAGAACATCACTGCCAAGAACAAAACTAGTAAAAACCTAATTTGCCAAATTTCAGAGGGAAAAATTTGGGATCAGCTCTCAAAAGTTAGAGTCGATCAGGGAACTGTACAGGTAGATACACATTTTTTTCCCCGATCATATAATGTTACTTTCACTTACCCATCGGTCCTTTCCCTCCTGCTTTGGCTTTTGCTTCAGCTAATTTCTTCTGTTCGTCTTTCTGTTTTTGTTTGAAAGCAAGGTCATCCTGTGAAAAAAAAAAAATTTCAGTACACATAATTATGTAGGACTCTGAAGGATCTTTAGACTCAGCCACAGGGCCTTTTACATCATTTGGTCTATGGTAGAGTTGTTTTGTTGGCAATCATACCACATCTTCTTATTTTCAAATTGTAAAATTAATATGGGGTCTGCAAGAATTTCTTCTACAGGGCAATAGATTCTAATTTTCCCCAAAGTGGGTGTGGCTGCATAAGTTTATAAAAAAGATAAGATATTTACATGTACATTGTCTGTTCTGTATACATGTACTTCTTTTCTTAACAGTTTTAAAGTTCAATATAAATATGTACATGAATGTTTTGATTACTGATTATGTGACCTTAAGAATCTGAACTATGGTGCAGAAACATTTTACTACAGTCGTAAGCAATATACCTCATCCATATCTCCTCTTTCTTTCTTTGGTGCCTTCAAGGGCTTCTTCTTACCACCTGTAGCAAACAAAATTATTAAGAATAACTTCCCATGTGAAGAGAATATTTGAGAAAAAAGTAGAAATAATTGGATTGCAACATCATGAACATGTGCAATAAAAAATTGGAAGCAAAATTTAGAAAAAAAAATAACCAAATAAATATTCCAATTAAGTTACATTTTTTGTAGTTTGTGTTTATTCAACATAATTACTTTAGACTAAATAGTTTACATATTTATATGAGTTATAAAGCATTTTCACAAACGTGTATACATTTTTTTGTACATGTACATGTGTATGTGCAAAATATGAGGCAAAAATACACCATTTGGCGTGTAGAGATTTCCCAAACTGAGCAAGATGCCTGGTACATGTACTTAATTGAGATACTATGTATGATTAGTATTGTAAAAACAAACATCGTTAAACGATATTATTACTTTAAAAAGAAATATTTTGATTCAATTCTTCTGCAAGTGCCTTATTTAAGAATGTCTAATTTCTTAATTTTATATTTGATGAAAATATAGTCTACTTAAAATAAGAATATTAAACCCTTTTCTTTGTTCACCTTTTTTTATTTGGTTGTTGAATTAAGATTTCAATTTTCAATAAAAGTCATTACAAAATGTTTTGCCTAAAATGAGAATTTCTAATCTTAACCTTGCTAATATACAAATAACATATTCCTAGCTGGGACCTAATACTTGGTCCAAGCTTACATGTAGTAGTACAGTTTTTTTTTTTGTTTTTTTTTTTAAAGTAATTTAAATAAAATTGTATTAACAATTGACAATGTCATGCCTAAATTGAGACTATCAAATATTCTATTTTTTGTAAATAAATAATTGTTCAGTCATATTTGATATTCTTAAGGGTGCCAGGAGGATTTTTTTTGGATTAATTATCTAAGAAATAATTCATGGAAGCCATAGATTTGTTGGACATTTACACACGGCCCAGGCCATGTGTAAATGTCCAACAAATCTATGGCTTCCATGAATTATTTCGATTCTAATAGGACAAATACGATAATTTAATAAAATGCTTCGCTGGGGCGCAGCTTGATACGACCGCAGAGGTCGAACCCTGAACAGTTGGGGCAAGTATGGACACAACATTCAAGCTTGATACAGCTCTGAATTTGGATTGTTATTAAATATTTGACACAGCATAGGTTTCTGACACAGAAAGAATGTGGTCTAAGAACTTGAATTTTTTTTAATTTACCTATTATGGTCCAATGTCCAAAATCAAAATACATGGTTAGATTCAGCATATCAAAGAACCCCATATATTCAATTTTTGTTGAAATCAAACAAAGTTTAATTTTGGACCCCAACTTGGACAAACTTGAAAACTGGGCCCATAATCAAAAATCTAAACACATGTTTAGATTCAGCATATCAAAGAACCCCAAGAATTCAATTTTTGCTAAAATCAAACTAAGTTTAATTTTGGACCCTTTGGACCTTAATGTAGACCAATTTAAAAAACGGGACTTAAAATTAAAAATCTAAATACACGGTTAGATTTGGAATATCAAAGAACCCCAATAATTCAATTTTTGATGAAATCAAACAAAGTTTAATTTTGGACCCTTTTGACCTCAATATGAACCAATTTGATAGCGGGGCCTACAAATAAAAAATCTAAATACATGGTTAGATTCAGCATATCAAAGAACCTCATATATTCAATTTTTGTTGAAATCAAACAAAGTTTAATTTTGGACCCCAATTTGGACCAACTTGAAAACTGGGCCCATAATCAAAAATCTAAATACATGTTTAGATTCAGTATATCAAAGAACCCCATATATTCAATTTTTGTTGAAATCAAACAAAGTTTAAATACTGGACCCTATCTTGGACCAACTTGAAAACTGGGCCCATAATCAAAAATCTAAACACATGTTTAGATTCAGCATATCAAAGAACCCCAAGAATTCAATTTTTGTTAAAATCAAACTAAGTTTAATTTTGGACCCTTTGGACCTTAATGTAGACCAATTTAAATAAAATGCTCCGCTGGGGCGCAGCTTGATACGACCGCAGAGGTCGAACCCTGAACAGTTGGGGCAAGTATGGACACAACATTCAAGCTTGATACAGCACTGAATTTGGATTGTAATTAAATATTTGACACAGCATAGGTTTCTGACACAGAATGAAAGTGGTCTAAGAACTTAAAAATTTTCAATTTACCTATTCATACATGTGATGGA